GGATATAGGACTGGGGGAAGGAGAGAGAGAGAGAGAGAGAGAGAGAGAGAGAGAGAGAGAGAGATTATAAAAGGGCAGGAGGTAAATATAGGGTATGCCAAAAGAAGATATAGAGTTGTTGGTATATAAATTAATATGATAATTAACAAATAATAATACAAAAATGTACTCTGTCCTGGCCAGTGTTGCTCAATTGGTTGGGCATCATTCCCCACACTAAAAGGTGACTGGAACAGGTGAGGGCACATGCCTTCCTCAAATTCCATTAGGGGAGAGCAGGAGGCAGCTGATTAATATATCTCTTTCATATAGATGTTTCTCTCTCATCCACACTCCCTTCCATTTCCCTAAAAGAAACAATGAAAGTAATGTTTAAAATACTTTTGAAAAGAATAAACTCTGTGTTTTGGGTGCTCAAAATTTTAAATCTATTTTTGCTCTACGGTGTATATTAGAGATAGATAAGTTTCTCCCATGTGTGATGGTTTCACAGATTTATATGTACATCAGAGCTCACCAAACAGTACACATTAGAAAAGAGCAGTTTGTCGCATGCCAGTTCTCATATGCTGGGCCAACAGCCTTGCCTCAGTGGCAGGAAATATTGGCAAGCAGTGTAGTCTATGCCATCAGAACCAACAGGAGTGCTGACTGGTTACAAAAGGCACAACCTGGGGTTGGTTACACTCAAAATACCGACTTCTGCGCATGGGCCACGAAGTTTCAATAGTACTTTACATGTGCGCCCACACGTGGTATTTTGTGGAAGAGCCACACTCAAAGGACCACAGAGCCACATGTGGCTTGCGAGCCCATTTTTCGACCATTGGGTTAGAGGGTTATATTTCCTCTATCTTTGAGTTCTTGCCTGTTGAGCATCACACTTAAGCTGAACACCTTAGAGGGGCCAGCACAATTCACAAAACCATTAGGTTACATTCTCTGCCAATGTATAACCAAATGTTCTCGTAACTAAAAACATAGCACCATTTCCTGGAGAATCCATGCTACCTCTGGGACTGGCTTTGTGTGCGTGTGTGTGGAGGGGGCAGCTTTATTTTTAATAAAATCAAAATGGAAAATTACCCCAAAGATGGAAAAACAGACTCAAACAATACAAAAACTTCAGAGGTGTGAGTGTGCTGGCCAGAGGCAGGACTTTCCAAAGGTGAACTGGGTTGTGGGCCCAAAGCATCATGGGCTTCTCCCGAATACAGAAGTAGGTGCAGATGCAGTGAGCCAGGTGCCTGGGGGATGGGGAGGAGCAGGCTGGAGAGACCTCTGGATGGAGATAGAAGAGCCCTCACCAGCTCCTCTCAGGCAGACAGAACCCAAGTTCCTCCCAGGACCTTGCCTGGGGCTTCTCTCTACCAACTCCTGGGAAAAACAGAGCTTGTCCAAGCTGCAGTGGGAACATCCCAGGAAATGGCAAGACAGCACAAGGAGGGGTGGGCTGTGCAGGCAGAGGCCCCTTGTCAGGGTAGCGGTGGTGGATGGTTCTATTTTGTTTTTCATAATCCTCACAGGAGGATATTTTTCCATTGATTTTTATTCAGATTGGAAGAGTGGGGATGGGGTGTGGAGAGAGAGAGGGAGGGAGGGAAGAAGGGGGAAATGAAGGTAGAGAATATCTTGGATGTAACAGACACACATCAACTGGATTCCACCTGCATGAGCCCCCAATAGTTTCCAGGTATTAAACCTGGAACCCAGGTACTTGCCCTTGACCAAGGATTTAATTCACCACCCTTCATGTGTGTAGGCTGACACTCTTACCATTAAGCGACACTGGCCAGGCCATGGTGGATGTTGACCCAATAAGGAAAAAAGAAGACCATTTTGTTTCCTTAGATTGATAAATATCTACAATTTTAGTGGCTAAACTTCAAAACACTTGCATCCCACAAGGGGACCCTGAGTCTCAGCAGCCTGCAGCACATCACGCTGGGGAGATAGGGCATCAGCCTCTGCAGAGACAGCTCCTCTCCCTCCATGAGCAGGTCAATGGCTGGAGCACTTCATTACAGTGGCCTGGTTTGGGTATGACTGAGTCTCAAGTTTTCTGGAAGCACATGCCAACTCCCAGGTCATGAGTACCCTAGTAACTTATGTTCCATTTCCCACTAACCATGGCTCCAAAGAATAGAGTGGACACCAGCCTGAACTGGGACTAGAGTGGCCGCAGGTCCACACACATGGTCCAGCACCAACTCTCCCTGGCAACTGCCCTGGCTTATTCCTGCCCATACAAATCTGCCCAGCTGCCACTGCTGCTCCCAGCCTGGACACCTGAGAGGAATCTGAGCTCCTCAACCACATGAATTCTGAAACAGCCCAGTCTCAAGCCCTGGCTGGAAGGTGCAGAGACCTCAAGGGGAATGTCAAGACCCAGATCTACACCGGGCCCCTTAGGTTTTAGTCTCAGGGAGCACAGATGTCATTACCCTGGGTGGGTTCGCCAAACTCCACACTGACAACAGGGGCACCTCCCACATTGTTCCCTGGGTCATTGCATGGTTAACCATCATGAGGACCCTGGCTGCCTGTCACCATAGGGTCCCTGAGCTGTGCTGGTGTTCACATGTGTGTGGACTGACTGGGAGAATAAAACATGTATACTGATTGATTTGAGACATAGGGAGAGATAGAAGCATTAATTTGTTGTTCCTGTAACTTCCTACAGTGGATTATGTTGGGCCTGCCAGGGTCATACATTTTCTTGCATGTGCCCTGACTAGAGGTGGAACCTGCAGTCTTGGCGTTATTGAGATTATGCTCTGACCCACTGAGCTATCTGCACACATCCTGACATATTGGGTGTTTTACGTTAAGTAACCCACTAATGTACCTACGGATAGATACAAGAACAACTATCATGGTAGATGATGGAAGGCTAGGATTCATGGGGTTTCATAAGTGTTTCCTTCATATGGATAGATTTCAAATAAGCTATTTCAAAGGCAGAATGGGTCCTTGCATCAGTTATATTATTTGCCAAGAAAGAAGCACTGAGGAGGGCAGGAGGAACTTGGTTTCAGGAATGTAGGCATGAATGGAAACATCAAAAGGGCATGTTTAAAAAGTGTACATGTTAGCCCTCCCTGGTTTGGCTCAGTGGATAGAGTGTTGGCCATTCAACTGAAGGGTTGCAGGTTGACTCTGGTCAAGTGTATGTACCTCCATTACAGAGTTCATCACTGGCACTGGTTAGGGTGTGTACAGGAGGCAACCAGGTGATGTGTCAACCTGAATGGTTTAAACCTCTGTCTCATAGAGAGTAAAGGCTCAGAGACTGAATGTAGATTACCTGATGATAGAGATAAAAGGCAGGACTAGAAGTCAAAACCATGTGTCTACAACAGAGGTCTGGCATCTAATGTTAGGCTGAAATTAGAGAGTAGAGTTGCTACTTTATAACCATTAGGACTGGCTAGATGTTACACCCAGAAAGCTATAGTGGCTTTGCATATAGAAGTTATCTTTCTTGTTCATACCATATGTCCATTCTGGTTCTCCTGGGACTGGCATAAAGGAGGAGCCACCATGTAGATACCTGTTGACATTATCAGAGATGGGCAGAGAGGGTGGCCAGTCTCAGTGGTTCCAGTCTTCTGTTAGTGGTGACAGGCTTCACTCCCACCACATTTCATTGGTTAAAGCACATCACAGAGCTGCAGCCAACCTCAGGGGGTCAGCAGCAGAACCTGGTATACTTGATGGGCCTCATTAAGGTGACCATATGGTGCCAACCTCTTTTGGGCTGTGCAAGGGCATTGGTAGTCAGTCAGGATTTTGTCCCCAGGCTGCCCAAAACCATCACTTTCAAGATTCAAAGGAGTGAGCATCCAAAAAAGGAGTTTGGTAAGATGTCATGGGCAGCAAACTCGACACCAATTCTGAGTGTGACTTTGGGAACATCCCTGGCTGCATGGATTCCCCTACTTTGGTCAAGGTCAAGACCCACATGTTAAGAGTGTTTACTGGGAAGGGTATAGGACTGAAAGCATCTCAGCATCCCTGTTCTTTAAAACTAACATCAGTCAGTACCTGCTTCCAAGTCTCCTTTCTTTTGAATGGCCCTGGTGAGAGCTCCCAGTGAGGATGGTGAAAAATGCTGACGTTGACATCAATGGTGAACCTGTGCTAAAGGGTCTCTGGACGGTTCTCCACACTGGTCCTAATTCTCCCTCCTGGCCCCAGTGTTGGGTGGGCCATGCACACCCAGTAGATGACCTGAGCCAAGAATCCCAAGAGTGATGCTCCATGAAGCCCCAGGCACCTTCCTCTATTATTTGTCAGCCTAGCTTTGACATGGCAAGGGACACCCCTCTCCTGGGATGCCCAGTTCCTCATTATCAGTGGGGACTGAGGAGCCTAGAAATCTTCCCCCTCAGCTTTCCCCCACATGAACTCATCCTCATATTCCTTTCCAAGTATCCTGGATCCTCCAACTCCTTCACAAAGACCAGTGTCCTTCACAAATGTTACCAATCCACACTCTATACCTCCTGTGTCATCAGAGTCTTCCTCAATTCCCCACCTTCCCACAGTCGGGAATTCTCTGAACTGACCCTATGCTTAATCCATCCTTGAGACCTGAGATGGGACCTCCAGAAGGACACCAGACGCTTGGAAGGGAAGAAGGCACTCACCTGGAGGTGGGGAACAGGAACATATTGATGTAGAGGAGGGTGCCTCTACAATGCCTCTCCAGAGAATGCCTATGCACTTGCTCATTGTGGGGGTGCACAGACTGAGAGAGAAACATACAGATAACCCAAGCACAGAAACACGCTGGTGCAGAACACTCCCAGCCTCTGCTGGGTGCTCAGGAGCTGGGCTTATGACCAGGTTCACATAGACTCACACTGTAGACATGGGGAACACACACACACACACACACACACACACACACAAATAGAAAATTGGGGCCACCTAGACAGTGCCAAAGGACACACACACACACACACACACACACACAATGGACACTACCCCATATGCAAATTGGAACCACAAAGTTATTTAAACTTTATTTCATTGCCTTGGTGAGTGGTATAAAATAAGCCATTATTGGACAAAGAGTGATTTTTCTGACATTATTACAGTATATGCTTTCCAAAGCACAGAAAATTTGGGGGACCCCACCATATCTGTTCATCTCACCATGATGATAGATCACAACTTTTGTATCAAATCATCCAGAGAGTGAAATTTAAAAAAAAATAAAGCAATGAAATAAAAAAACATCTTTACTAAAGATCATAAACCAGAACAGAGGACAGTAAGCAATTTGCAGGCTGGTGAATTAGAAAGTAAAACAATTCATAAAAACATAATGTGAGACCCACAATGTCCCTGAAAGTGGTAGCACTCCTTAGCTTAGGATGGGTGCTCTGTAGAAACCCTAGGTCAGAACCATTCCCTAGTCAGAGAGAAAGGAATGAAGATCCTGTCAAGAACTTGAAGTAATCACAATTTTCTCAAGCACAAATAAGAACACAGAATACATTTCCCGTGAGCACACAGGGTTTGTGACTGATGTACGCTCTTCAGGTGAACCAGGTGGTAGAGATGAAATCTCTTCGGCCACAAATACTCACTGTGACATCAATTGGGTAGTAGGTCTGGGCATGTTAGCAAATACAAATGCAGATCCTTCAATCCTCACTTGTACCTGAAACTTATGAGGAATATATCAGAGTACATGTTCCATTAAAAGGGGTTTAAATTCAGAAAAACAGGTCCCAAAGAGTCGCCTTCAGTGTTCTTATACTGAGAAAAGTAAAACATTTGCTGCACATTTAACACTTCTCTCCAGTGTGATCTCTCATGTGTCTAATAATGCTAGATTTGTGATTAAAAGTTTTCCCACATTCAGTACACTGCTATGGCTTCTCTCCAGGGTGAACCATGAGGTGTGCAGTGAGGTGAGATATTAGATGAAAGGACATCCCACATTCTTTACATTTACAGGGGTTTTCTCCAGTGTGAACTCTCTGGTGTTGAGTACTTACCATTGAAGGACTTCCCACAATCACAGCACTCATATGGCTTGTTGCCACTGTGAACTCTCAGGTGTCTAAAAAGGTGAGATGTTAGGCTAAAAGCCTTTCCACATTCAGTACACTCATACGGCTTTTCTCAAGTGTGAACTCTCTGGTGTCGTTTGAGGTTATACTTATTACTGCAGGATATTCCACAATGACAGCACTCATATTGCTTGCCGCCACTGTGAACTGTCAGGTGCTTAGTAAGGCCGGATTTTTGGCCAAAAGACTTACCACATTCAGTACACTCATATGGCTTCTCTCCAGTATGAACTCTCTGGTGTAGTCTGAGATAAGACTTATCACTGAAGGATTTTCCACAATCACAGCACTCATATGGCTTGTCGCCACTGTGAACTCTCAGGTGCTTAGTAAGGCTGGATTTTTGCCTAAAAGACTTCCCACATACAGTACACTCATAAGGCTTATCTTCAGTATGAACTCTCTGGTGTTGTTTGAGGTAAGACTTATCACTGAAGGATTTTCCGCAATCACAGCACTCATATTGCTTGTTGCCACTGTGAACTCTCAGGTGCTTATCAAGGCTGGATTTTTGGCTAAAAGACTTCCCACAGTCAGTACACCCATATGGCTTCTCTCCAGAGTGAACTCGGAGGTGTATACTGAGTTTAGACCTTTGACGAAAGGACATCCCACATTCTCTACACTCGTATGGCTTCTCCCCAGTGTGAACTTGGAGGTGTGCAGTGAGGTGAGATATTAGACGAAAGGACTTCCCACATTCTTTACACCTACAGGGCTTTTCTCCAGTGTGAACTGTCTGGTGTTTTTTAAGGGTAGACTTATATTTGAAGGACTTCCCACAATCACAGCACTCATACGGTTTGTTGCCACTGTGAACTCTCAGGTGTCTAATAAGGTGATATTTGAGGCTAAACGTCTTCTCACATTCTCTACACTTATAGGGCTTTTCTCCAGTGTGAACTCTCTGGTGTTGTCTGAGGTTATACTTATTACTGTTGGATTTTCCACAATGACAGCACTCATATCGCTTGCTGCCACTGTGAACTGTCAGGTGCTTAAGAAGGCTGGATTTTTGGCTAAAAGACTTCCCACATTCAGTACTCTCATATGGCTTCTCTCCAGTGTGAACTCGGAGGTGTACAGTGAGCTTAGACCTATCACGAAAGGACATCCCACATTCTCTACAATCATATGGCTTCTCTCCAGTGTGAACTCTAAAGTGGTCAGTGAGGCGAGCCCTTTGACAAAAGGACTTCGCACATTTTCTACACTCATACAGCTTTTCTTCAGTGTGAACTCTCTTATGTCGAATTAGGTTCAAGATTTGTCTAAAAACTTTCCTACATTTGTGACACTCATAAATCAGGTCTCCAGAACAGTCACCGTGACATTGAACAACTTTCAGGTTGTGGCTGGCAGCATCTTTACATTCATCCCAATGGTGATGACTTTTTCCATCAAGAAATTCCTGTGAAATCTCACTGCCACAGTGTAGCTCCTCAGTGTTGAGAGTGGCCTGGTGCTTGGGAAGCTCTGAGTTGTATTGCAAGACTTCCCCAACCTCCCTGCTGGCGGAAGGCACCGAAGATAAGTAGAAGCTGGACCTGCTCACAAAGGAAGCCCTGTCCATAGCTTCTTTCCAGGGCTCGTCTCCACATTCATTCCTCTGTTGCTCGTGAGAGTTTGCACTAAAACAGAAGTCTCCAACACGTGTGTCACTACAGAAGGCTTTCTGCTCAAAATATGCTGCATGTGAACCAGTCGGGTGCAAAATACCTTTTAACACAGAGAAACACCGCTTACACAGAGGGATCTTCTGGGTGCTTGGAGCTGTCTTAGAAGCCCTGACCTGTGACTCTCCTTGTATAGATACAGAACAGGCCTCATCACAATCGATTTTATGCCAACAACCTGAAAAGTGAGAAAGGGTAAGGAAATGAACGCTGAATGTGGTGACAGGGGGAAGTCCCAGTTACACATCACACGTTGGTTCCATGCAATTGTCACAAAATAATATATGTGCAGGAAGGATTAATAAGAGGCTTTTGTCACTTTCTGGACTAATAAAGATTACAAAACAGGGAGGCCTCACCAGAAATATGACACAAAAATGGAAAACACCACATGGATTTGAATATGGATTTCCAGCTAATACATCAACTTAAAGAATTCAGCATGGCTTGTCTGCTGGGTACAGGCACAAGCTTTGCAAAATATTGGTTAGGTCTTACTCCAAGGAAAATTCAATAAAGGAGTAGCTGGTTTCGAGGACTAATTAGCACGTATGTGCACCTCATAACACATGTGCAAGTCAATGCTGCAGAATACTACAGAGGAAGGCATGTAGAGGAACAGGTAACAAAGAGGTGAGCAGTCAGCACTGGTTCAGAGCAACACAGCTTGCTACAGTGTTCAGGGAAGAGAATATAACAATTGATTGAAGGTCCCACAAGAACAGCCTCTGTTTCATGTAAGTAAAGACCATAACATGGAACAGGTTGCCACAAAGAACCTTTATCTAGAGAAAGATGGCAGAAGTTGAAGCCATGCATATGGAAACTGTCAGCCTCCCATGAAGAGAGAGTGCAAGCTGGGACCCATGAAGCTCACTGCAAGACTACTGACTTTCTGTTTCCTGTACATTGTGAGGTAATAGGTGTTAGAGGGATGTTCATGGAGTCCTCTGCTCAGGACTCACCATCCAGCTCATTCATGTCAGTCACAGCACATTTCACAAGACAGTAGGGAAAATTACCAGAGGCCATGTTCTCGCTGTGGGAGAGAGAAAGCTACCCCTGAGGAATAAAGGCAGACAAGTCATCACCTCAGGACACTGGGAGAACATCAGGTCTTACCTACAGATGACACAAGTGAAAATATTTCCAGCATCACATCGCAGTACAGAATTCTCTGAACCTCATCAAGGAGCACCCATTCCTCCTGAGAGAATACAATGGCCACATCCTCAAAGTTCATAACCTGTCATAATGGACACAGTACATCCCATGATCAGCTTCACTCCTAAGATTCTAAGTCGGTCATAATCCCCACCCTCCACACCCATCTGCTCTGTCCACTCCAGAGAAAATACCAGGCCTTCATGCCATGAAAGCCACTGTTTTCTTATATTTATACTGACATTTTGTCTTCCTACTCTAATAAAGGCATTTGAGCAGATAAGACACCTGAGCTCTGGAAGTCCCATGTACGCCACACTGACTTTTATCAACAGAGTGGTTCTTAAAACCATAGGTGAAAGAGAGATGCTGGCCATAAAGATATTGTGAGTGATTTGATACTGGTCTTGTCAGTCAATACCCTCAGATTGTTTCTCAAAGACGCCAAATACATGGCATCACACTGGACCCTCTTGACCCCAATTGCAAGGTGCCACGGCCATAGCTTTGCACTACCTATTGCACAGAGATCTTTGAACAACACTTCTCTCACACACACAGCTTCACTCCCAGAAGCACAACTGCAAAGGTAATGCAAATTTGCTGCAGCGAGGACAAGTTGTTTCCTAATCACCTTTTTTCCCCCAAATTACAGTTCACCATGTCCATAATCTCTTACCCCTTACTCTTCTCCCCTGCCCATGCCAGTGGACATTTTGAAGCCTGGGTAACACTGTTGTGTGCTATGGCACTCCTATTATCCAGGGTGTCATCCCCAACAACAAAAGGCAGGTGGTTAGGTAAATGGCACCTAAGCTCTATACCTTGAATATAGCGCCAAAATAACCCTGTTTACAGGCAATTACCCTAAAATTCACCTTACTGGATCATCCAGACACCACCAGAAATGGGCTTTCCGATCATTCACTCTTATGTCAATATCAGGGTGCTGTGGCCATCAATTCACATTTACTCTTCAAGTGCAGATCACTCTTTACCACACCTCTCTCAGACCTGTACTCCCTTAGCCCCAGCCCCCATAGTCCTCTCCTTAATGTCTTATTACTTATCAAGTGCTGTCCAGAGAATGCTTGCTAACATCTCTCACTGAACCATGATCTCTCTTTGACACTCGACAGGACAACTTCTGTCCCTATGCTGTGTTGTGACCCACAAATACTGGCCACAGCAGGAAAGCCAGTCCTCGGGCTCACACTGTCCCTTCTGAGCTACTACTACCATTACCAACCTGGCCATGATTTCCTGTATGAAAGTGATCTGCAGTCCTGGCTGATGTGTCTCAATTGGTTGAGTATAGAACCATGCACTGATGAGGTCACATGCCTGGGCTGTGGGCTGGATCCAAAATAAGGGTTATGCAGGTGGAAACTGATCATTGTTTCTTGCTCATCACTGTTTCTCTGTCTCTCTCCCTCTCCCTTCTATATCTAAAATCAATATATATACATACTGGGTGGCCAGATTATTATGTTCACCTGACATTTGTAGGAAAATTAGATATAATTTCACGCTGAAGTTGCTAGAGGGCCAGACCATTATAAACAGGGAAGCAGTTTGTTTGCCATGACAGTAGAAGTGAGTTTTTTCTAAAGATATGTGTAAACAACGCGATTTAATAGCCTTTGAACTTGGGATGATTGGTGGCACTTGGAGCCATGGAGCGAGTATCAGCAAAACAGCTGAATTTGTTAAATGTTCCAGAGCAGCTGTTGATAAAGTGTTTAAAGACTGGACTGTCAGCCAAAAATCTGGGTCTGAACGTGCGAATTGTGGACGTCAGCGAATAGTCAATGTGAGGCCAAGACTGGTACAAGACAACAGAAGGACAACAGTGGATTAAATTTATGCAGATCTTACTCAGGGATCCTCTCAAATGATCTCTGAACGCACAATAATAATCTGGCCACTGTGTGTGTGTGTGTGTGTGTGTGTGTGTGTGTGTGTGTGTGTGTGTGTGTGTAATATACACTGAGGGGCCAGATTATTATAATCTCTGAACACATAATAATCTGGCCACTCTGTGTGTGTGTGTGTGTGTGTGTGTGTGTGTGTGTGTGTGTGTGTGTATTTAAAAAACATACCTGTACGTTCCTAAATCAGCTCACTCTTCACTCCCAGCCTATTCACATTCTGGAACCTATGTCCTGGCAGTCCTCCCACTCATTGCACTGGTTGCTAAAAACAAGGTCCACGTCATGAAGCCCTAGTTCTGGCCTTAGGATTCTGGGCTTAGTATCTGTTCAAACTCCCC